AAATCTAAAATGCCAGATTTCGTTTTGTTTTTTTTTCTATCTACTCGGTTATTTTTGGCAGCATTTTTCTTTCAAACACTTTGACACAATTAACAAACCAAAAAAAAAAAGGAAAAGAAAGAAAAGACAGACAACAGAAACAAAAGAGAAGAGAAAGTTGATGTTTAAAAAAAAAAAATAGCTAGGGTTCCTACAACTGCCATGTGATTTTAACACCCATAAGCAAGGTTTCATGGATACTGAAGCTGATTCTTGGAATAGCATCAATTGCCGAGGACATTCACTGCCTTATTTGGACATTGGATTTCACCTGCAGTACATGTACAAGCAGATATATACTTAAAGGAACATTCAGCTTAAAGAAAAAAAAAAACTGTATAAAAGGAAAGATGTGAGGGGCGCAGCGCCCTCCTTTGGATATACTGTGTTAGTGCATGACCTTTGACACACTGGGTACTTGGAAGAAACCTGTGTGAGCGCATGATTCTGTGACATGTACCAACCGACCAGAATGCTACAATAAATCGTGAACCCTACATATCCGAGTCCATATCCTTCCTGAATAATAGAGTAACATAGGATATGACAGGTCTCACAGGAGTGTTCCTCGTCTCTCCATTACTGCTTCAAGTTAAGAAACCAAAGGAACCCCGTTAAAATCCCAGCCTGCATGCCTGACAGTAACTGTGGGGCCGCCATGTTTAAATACAGGATGCACTTTACCATAGCAAAAGCAGTGTAAAATCAACAAAGCCAAGCCCACACATGTGGAGTTTGTCATACAGAAATCTCATTATCGTCTTTGCCGTCATTTCTCAATTTATTTTCAATTGTTGGATGGTAAGCCAGCGGTATTTCTCACCTTTAAACTCACCTCCTGTGAAGTCACGTAACCCGCCAACTTGGCCACACATGCGTTCTTGTGCGTAGGCATTGTAATGCTAATGCTCGCGCCACCGTGGAAAACTGGTCGTCCATCAACTTGCGCACATATTGAGCAGGGTACCAAACAGGGGATAAAACAGCGCTGGTGATTGGCGCGCTTGAAATAGGCCCTGTAAGCGTGCACAAGCACGACGAAGATCTGAAGATAATGCAATTATTATTTTTTTCGTAATGTAAATCAAAAGAATGACCACTATTGCAAAGAGGGAAAAAAAAGCATTTCCCAAAACTGTATGCGAGCAATTTGCATCAATATAAAAAAACATGTATTTCCTACCCCCAAAGCATGGACAAACGCGACCGTCTGAGGCTTGGGCTTCCAGAGCTACGGCTGGGTCTATTGTCTACGCGTCTCCAAGCATTTCCAATGGAGCGAAGACCTAGACCTAGCTCTTGACAAGAGATTCGGATGCAGCCGTAGTTTACATCTTGACCGCAACACACACCATGACGTCAAACTACAGTG